TTTGTGACTGGCGAGCGTGAAGCCCATTGGAGGTCAGAAGTCTTCTTGGTCTCGGTGTATTTCCACTCGCGATAGCCGAGCAAAGATGTGGCATCGTTGGGTGGAGACGAGAATGTGTCAGATTCGAGGGCGAATCCGTTTCGAGAGGAGAAGAATGATGGAGACGAGATATCACCTAGCATCATTGATTTAGTCAATTATTTATTTCTTTTGTTTTAATTATTATTAATGGTATTCTAGATTTATTAAGAAACTTATTTATTTTTATACTTTATTAGTATCTTTGTCTTTGTGGCCAAGTTAGTAATCTAAGACTTTGAGGAGTCTTATTTAAGGATTCATCCTCTCTTGTTCTAGGTAGTTGAAGATTGAATAAAATTTACTTATTTACAAAAGAACTCTTTTCTCTTATTTCCCATTCGTTCGCTGCGGTACATCATTGATTCAACAAAAAACTATAACTTAATATTTATCTTTCATAATTTTAGGGCGTGTTTGGATACAAATATATACACACAAAACAAGTTATTTTGGTTAACCATGATTAATTTTTTAAAAAAGATGATATGATTAATTGAGTTTATATTAAAATAATATTTAAAATTAAATAATTAAACTTGATTTGATGTACTATGTTTGGTTGGTAAATAAGCTAGATCAAGCTCATTTGGTTAGCTTATAAGTTTTCCTGTATTTAAATAAACATCGTTTGTTAGGACGAGCTTTTTAAAAAAACTTGAGCTTATTTCAGCTAGCTTATCAGCTAATTTTACAAAATACTTTTATCATATAAGCTAATTTTTCAGCTATAAGTAATAAGTTATAAGTTATAAGCTCGAAAATTATTGATAAGCTATAAGATAGCTTATCAGCTAGTTTTACCAAACATACCCGTAAAAGTAGGAGAGAAATGACGTGAAGTGATATTAGTTAAAATTATGTGAGTGAATGAATGACGAATTGAAGTTGATATGCTGTGTAAGAATGATTGATTATATTATATAATTATATTGATAATATTAAGTATAATGGAGTTGGAATAGAGTTGAGTTAGATTTAAGTATGAATTGAGTTATTTTGTATAAAACACACCTTTACTCTTGCATTAGACCTGTGGCCCGTATGGATCACTTCTTTGTGGGACAAGTCTAAAAGTTTCCATCCCAACCAACCCCTTTTACTAGATAGACCGCAGGCGGGTTGCACTCGGGCGAAGGCCTATTTTGAAGGGGGTCAGAAATAATTGATAAATAGTTTGGGGGTATGGGGCAACAATTAGGTTATGTTTGGTAAATCAAATAAGCTAGCTTATAGTTTATTTGGTTAGCTTATAAGATTCTTGTATTAAATAAGCTCCATTTGGTAGGACGAGTTTATTTAAAAAGCTCGAGCTTATTTGATAAGCTTGTTTAGGTAGCTTTTCAAATAAGCTAGTTGAATTTTTTATTCCAGCTAGCTTATCAATTAATTTTACCAAACACTTTTATCATATAAGCTAGCTTTTCAGCTATAAGTCATAAGCTATAAGCTATAAGCTAGAAAATTACATATAAGCTATAAGCTAGCTTATCAACTAGCTTATCAACTACTTTTACCAAACATAGCCTTAATTGAACATGAAAGAATTAAAATTAATTCGGTAGAGAGTTTGGGGTAGGGGGTAACAATTAGTTGAACATGGAAGAATGCATTAAATAATACTACCTCCTGTTCATTATAAATGTCGTTTTGATTTTTGTGATTCATCCATTTTATTATGTATCTAGACATTAATATGTCTAAATACATAACAAAATGGATGAATCAAAAAAGTCAAAACGACATTTATAATGAATAGGAGGGAGTAGTAATTAGAAACAAAATAAATAAATAAATAAATAACACTTTGCGTATATCAAATTATGCTATTTTATTTTATTTTTTATTTTATTTTATTTATTTATTTTCGGCACTTTATTATTCATATTTTTATGATACACCTAGTCAGAGTTTGATTTAGGAAATAATACTGGTCGAGTTGCACACACACACACACCATGTTATTATATCTAATTATAGTTAATCACAATTACTCTTCAACGTTACGGATTACGAAAAGGTCTTACGTTTATGCACAGAGAACTTTAAAACTCCCTCTATGGCAGTCGATTCGCTATCTGAATGAATTCATCATACTTCCTTCATTACTTTTTCTTATGCGTGAAAGAAAATTCCCTACATGTGCAGATTGGTTGATGTTATCTAAGTTGACATTTGAAGCATAGTTCAAAGTAAAAAAAAAAAAGATCTGTATCAGGTGAGCGTCGAGCCTTTCGGTTATCTGCATGCATTTTACGACTCATCAGGTGAGTGCCGAGCCTTTAATATCTGATTGAGAACATTATGAATTCGAAGTCCTCAAGATATTGATGGACAATCTATCTTCCCGATTACAATTTTCATTTGTCTCCTCTTTGTCGGCAAATCTTGCCGAGTTGCCGAGTTGACTCAAAGTTCGACGACTAGGGATTATCAAGTCTCTGCTGCATTTTCCATTTTTAAGATTCTCTGGAAACCCATCATGAAAAGTGTGT